TATATATATATATATATATATATATATATATATATATATATATATATATATATGTTATTAAAATGTATAAAATATAATAATACATAATACTTGTCGCGTAAAGAATGAAATCTGTACACACATATATTTTTTCCTTCTCTATACTTCTATATTAAAAATGATATCTTCTCTATACTTTTTATAACTGCTTTCATACAAAATCATAAAATATGCATTTTATATACATATTATTAATATTATATATAAAATATAATAATACTATTATTAATATATAATAATACATATTATTAATATTATATATAAAATATAATAATACATATTATTAATATTATATATAAAATATAATAATACTTGTTACATAAAGAACATATTTCATTCTGTACTCATGTATTCACATAAGCTTCTTCGGCTCTGGCTTGAAGCTGTACGGAGAAAAAACGCTTCTTTACACAAAGAAAACTACGACTAACATCTAGAAAGGGTTGCAAAGGTCCTTTAGCTCTTTCCGCTCTTCTCTCTTTCACACATGTTTGCCGCACGCTTCTCCTCTCACCTCTGGCACTCGCATAAAATGTCTTCGTTGTAAACGCAGATACGCGCCGAGCTCGCAGCTGTAGCGAAAGCGTCGAGGATCTCGGTAAAACCGTTGCAGGTACCAAGCACTGCCGAGCGGAAACGCTCAGGGACTATCAGGCGCTGCGAGAGAAATTCGGCGTCGAGTTTTATCGGAAGCTGCTGGAATGGGAGCGCCTGAAGGGCAATCCGCCGCGAGTCCTCGCCGCGCGGAACGTCCGCGACGGCTTGCCGCTGAACGAGGAGCGGCTAGCGCCTGAGTTCAGGAAGAAGCTGCAGGACTGGAAGAGGGCGAAGAAGGGTCGACGGTCGGGAGCGAGCATCGAGCAACAACGCGTCAGCCGTCGACGGCTGACCGATTGGCAGCTCTGGCGCTCCTCGTCGAAACCTGAGCCCAGGTGTTATGGCGTACGTTGATCCCACGAGCAATCGCGTAAAATTACGAGTAATCCATGGTATTCGGGGAAAGAAGAAACTAGTGGAAGGAGTCTGAAGAATTTGCTTCTCAAATGTGCAGCGATTTTACAATGATTCAAGGAAACCAATCGAAATCTGACAGCGTGATGAGAATGAGAATCATTTCTTAACTGGAATCTTGACATGACATGAAAGTCTCCTCAGTAATATAATTTGCCACAGTTATGCAAGAATGATTCAATTCACAAAATTATAATTGAATTTTCGTTTTTTACCAATGAATGGTCCATAACGCGTCTGTCTATATAAAATATCCAAGCCTTATCAGTGCCTAAAATTAATTAAAAAGCAGTTTTTATTTTACTATTAGTTGTATTATTTTTACTAATTGCGTCTTTCTTAATTTTCTAAGAATTCAGCTTGTCAATGAATATCCTTAAAGAGGAGAAAATTAGCCATGCTTGACTTCCTAAACAAATACGAAGTGCTATTTATATTTTTTAAATCGTGTATCAAATCTTTATCTTCATTTTTCTCTTCATTTTCATCTTTATCTTTATTTGAATCATCCTTGCATAACTACATAATTGGTGCTTGAGGAAAAGACGTATGAGTAAAACCGTTACGTATTTTTTTTAAAAAAGACTACATTAAATTTTTATTCTGAGTACAGAACATGCACGGAGAGAATGTTGTAGTAAAAATGATTGAACTGCAAAAATAACTATATAGAATTTTGTAACTGAGAAATAGGTTGATATTCTGCAATAATTAATTCTGCAATAATCTCCTTTTATTTCATTTCATGATATTTATATCTTAGAAACTAAAATATGCTATTAAACATTTTTTTGCGTTTCTAGCGAAGTTTATAATGTTGCTTAGACTTTATCGACAGTCTATTCTTGCACTACTAGAAATCTAATATAATAAAATCGAAAAGAAATTTATATGAAAAGAAAACTATAATATTCTCTCCCCATGTAGAATTATTGCAGGTAAATACAGTTCCATTAATTGTAAGTAGAGTTAATAGTTTTTTACAAGTACCTTCCAGAAGATCAAATGCATTTCGTCCAAAACAGTACTTTTGATTTCGTCCTTATTTTCGGTTAATGGCTTAAACTGTTGCAATCGTCTTGTACTTGATAGAAAAATCAAAACTCGGTCAGTTCTCGCGGAAGTTGCGCGAGTATCGGCAGTGCGGGGAGCTTCGCCAGCGACGGAAAGCAACATCTTTGCGAGGATTTCGTCAAGAGAATGGAAGCGTGGAGGAGAATGGGCGAGGCCGCGTGCAGAAACAGTGAGAGACCGAAACCACCGACGGCGAGTCGTGTCACATCCGATGTCATCGACGAGACGGAATTCTTCGCTTTGGAAAAGCTACTGTTGCTTTTTGGCCAAAGGATCAGGAAGGAACGCCGGGAGAGCGACGCGAAGCAACTGAACGATTGCTTCGATGGCGACTCGAGGTACAGAAATCTAAATAACGTAAACGAAGTTCGACGTTCGGCTATTAAGAAGCTGCTCTATATTGTTAAATTCTAAAGAACTACATTATGTCGTGAGCGTCTTAGTTATTAAGCTATTCGACGGATTCAAGATTCACGGCTGCATCTCGAGGCGTAAGTTGCGGCAACGAGGTGTTGATTCGCACCTCCGTCGGCTCTTATCGCTTCGAGGGCATATCTCGAGAGTTCACGAGGAAGTTATACGATTGGGAGAAGTACCGCGGAATATCACCGAGATCCTCCACGTTCCGCCTGTTGGGGCCAGGTTACACACCGTTCGCGCAGAATTCAGATGAAGCTACGTTGACGGAGTCACCAAATACGACAGGTAAGAGTAATCGATTTTCTCTCTTCTCTTCCTTTTTGTTTAAGCCTATGACTTGTTATTTTTTATTGTCATGAACAACTATGTTATGTTCATTCTTGTTATTTTGAGAGGCAATATTTCACTCGAGTGAAAATATCACCACTCTTCGTTCGTTTTGAGTGAGATTCAACTTCAGTCAATTTAAAAAGTACTGTAATCCGAATAAGACATCACTTGTCGATGTTACTAAATGAAATTACGATATTGTCGTCGAACAGGTAAGAATCGTGCGCTTCACTGGAGCCTGAAGAGATCCAAGTCCGATGGGAGCGTCTTCGAAGATACTCTGCGCGACGGCTCGTACACACTTCGTCGTTCTACGAGTCTGCACTCTTTGATCTCTACGGACAAGCTTACAGATGACAATCGAATAAACGCCCTGCCAACTTCTAGTAAGCACTTCGCATTTATAAAAATAGTCAAACATCTTTTTATGTTTCCAGTAATTTCGCATTTTATTTATAATCATTATCTTATCTTCAAGAACGATTGTATACCTTCACAGTTATTATTAGTAATTCTTTAAAGTAATCCAAACTTCTTTATTAATTTATATTAATTTAATTAATTAATTTACCTATTTAAAAAAAATATATATGTATATTAATAATCTCTTTATTTATTTCAAGCTACTAAATAATGTGCACTTCAGATTGCATGAATTGCTGTTAATTTACTTGCTTGTACCTCAATTATTAACATTTATTTTAAGTACTGACATGCACATATCTGAATTATTAACAATTAATTTATAATACTAACATATCTTATTGTCTACAGGCAACCCGCAGGATATCAAGGATCACTCTGAGGACACCGCGGTGGACTCCGAGCCGGAAGCGATGATCGTAGACATCGAAGATGTCATTGAAGAAACTGCCAGTCCCCTGGAAAGGGTGCAGCCTCACCAGACTCCAGTTTACTCCGTCGCGGCCAGCGAGACCACCAGTATCGCGGTTCCTCTCGGCACAGTCACTTCCAGTCACGAGCCCTCACCCGTATTTCTGGTCGAAGCCGAGGACGACGATGACGATTGCGAACGATGGGACGGAAGAACGTGGGTCCGCCAGGAAGCTCGCTCGAGCGAGAACAGTCCGAGTCCGGAACAGTTCCCGGCGTCTGAGGACTGGCACGAGAGGACGACGCCCGTGGACGAGGATAAAGCGAGCTGGGAACCGTGGCGTAAAGAACACGACAGGGTGGACGAGGCCGCTGCTGCAGGATGGACCGAGAGGACGGGCTGCTCGATCCCGGACGACGACTCCGTGAAATCCGACCGGCCGATCGGGTGGAATCAAGACGCTTGGGACGAGCTGGGCGAGATTTTTCAGAGATACGCCAACGAAGCGAATAGGTAACTCGAGGGAGATTGTTTCCCCGAGGGTTTGTCACGAGATCGGGTGAAACTGACAGTGGGATGCACTTCTTTCAGACACTCGATGGTGCGCGAGTTGCCTCTCACGCCGATCTACGAGAGCAATACCGGCAAAAATGATACCAAGCAGCAGAACTTTCTCGGCACCCAACGAAGTTTGTCAAATAATCTTCATCATTTAATCTTATCTATAGATAATTATTAATCAATTAATTTTCGTAATTATCCTTAATTAATATACTCATTCATTCTATCAATTAATCCCAAAATCTTAAACACGAGTAAATTTTATCCAGCGCATTTTCATTTGCCCATAACTTTCGAAAAAATTATCGGAATCATTTCTTAATCATTTTTTCAATCAGTTTAGGAAACATCGAGAAACACGAATTTATTAATTGTTTTGGCGATTTAATTAAATTAATAAAATTTATAATGAAATAACAAAACACATGTTTTTAAGAACGGTAACGTCTGAATAATTTTATCCATATTTAGGATTCTGTATTAATTTCATCAATTGCTTTCTCTGTAAAGCTTTTATCATCAATTATCTTTTCCTCCATTTCGAAATCTCATTGATCTTACTTTATTATCTTAAGAATTATATTTTACTTTTATTTTAATCTTATTAATTTTATTTAATCTTATTTTAATTCTATTAATTTTATATAATGTTCTTAAAGCCAAATGTTCCACAAGAAAAGTAAATGGAAAATTCTTTCCAATCTCTCGATGTTTCATTATAGAAAGTGACAATGTTGGACCTGCAGAGAACCTGGGAGCCACATCCGCGATCTGGAATGCGGAGAAATTAACGGTACATCTATATAATAATTCAATACTATTTCACAAACTGCTTGTAGTGTGTATCGCTTATTTAATATTGGAATTTTTCATTTGAAAGCGCGAACACTTAATGAAAAACAAATTGCTCACGGGAATATTCTTCATCAGTCTTCGAGATCCATAAGACACTCGAGTCACTGTTCAGGCTCAAACTTTTTGGAAAAGTAAGTTTTATCATAGCGCAATTGAAATTAGCGTCCTGTCGGTACAACCAGGACTCGCCGCGCACGTGTAAGAGGATGAACGAGGCAAGGAAGACTGAGAATTCAGCAGATGAACCGAATAACGAACGGAGGAGGAATGTGGAGGATCACCAAGACGCCGAAGACGTTGCGAAATCCGAAAAAACGATGCCCAGTGCCGGTTTTCACACTTATCAATTAACAACACCGTCAAATTGTCGCAGTTCCAAGGAAACTTTCTCGAATATATCCAATTTAAATTTGGGTAAGTTTATTCTAAAAAATGTAAATCTCTGAAAAAAATTTAATTTTTTTCTTTTTTTTTTAAAAAAAGAAATACAATTTTAATTTTATTAAAAACTGAAAAAAAGAGAGAAAGAGAGAGAATAAAGCATTTTTCGCAGAGAAAGAAATTACATAAAATTTTTACATACTTTTATTTATTTAATAAAAAAACATAAGTATATATTATACATGTATTATATATTATATATATATATATATATATATATATATATATATATATATATATATATATATATATAT